TTATGTTAGATAACCAAACGTTTTTACAGTGCATTACAAATGAATTAGGTGTGCATATAGACAAACATTATGTCGTTATGGATAATATTGTCATATCTTTCTCTAATATATCTCTCACACTTAAAGGTGAGTGAGGCAGGTGTTCACAGGCCACATGTCGGTGGTATCCACGGACGGAGTAACGATGGTTCCTATTCGCTGGTGTTGGCTGGGGGCTTTGAGGATGAAGTGGTGAGTTATTTGTATTTTTCCACTAGATGTTGGTTAATCTCTATTATGTGGATAGCCTGTTGTTTTACTCCGGCACATAGTTGGCAGAGTCACATATGCTGATCACCTTTTTTATGGTTACCATGACTTGCTGTAGGACCGGGGAGATGAGTTCACCTACACGGGCAGCGGGGGTCGTGACCTCTCAGGAAACAAACGGATCGGAGAGCACTCTTTTGACCAGACCCTGACACACATGAACAGGTATGACACTAAAAAATGACCTCCCATGTATGTAAGTTTGATCTCAAAGATACAAGTATGGTATTTTGTAATTTTATAGAGAACAGAAATGTCCACTGAGGCACCGCAGTGCATCAAGTTTGAACTTAAAATAGATGGCTCCTTCTGGACCCTGTTGGCTCAGTTCAGGCTGAATTTAAAGCTCAGTTTCTCTCACTTTAGTCAAGCTCAGGTGGTCAAACTTGCATAATATAAAATACTGATATGATGTTTTTATCTGAAGGCTATTTCAGTTAAATGATCATATCCCATGGCAGGAAAATGGCTGCAGCTCTAACTATGGAAAAAATTGAAAATGGAAAGATTTTTAGATTTTATTTAAAAAATAAACTGGATAGACTTAACAGCAATCAATAACTGATTATTCATTAACATCCATCATCTTTAGTCAGATGTCCTTCTGTCTTTCTATAACTCTTGAATCCTGACTCCTGCAGGGCATTGGCTTTAAACTGCGATGCACCTCTGAATGACAAAGACGGGGCAGAATCGAGGAACTGGCGGGCAGGAAAGCCAGTGAGAGTGGTGCGCAGCTCCAAAGGGCGACGCATCAGCAAATACGCTCCTGAGGAGGGAAACCGCTATGATGGTATTTACAAGGTAACGATGCATTTCGCTGTAAACCGAAAACAGAATGGCTAACTTCAAGTAAAGCTGCTTAAAATATAGAGACGCTATTACAAATATGGGCCAGTACCAGTTTTATTGTAACCTGTCAGAAATGTAGGGAAGAATGGTAGTTAGAAATGGGTTCAAGCCCCTATGACAGCCGTAGTGCCACTATGCACTTCCCTAAAAAATACCTAAAATGGCTCTGAAATTGATACATTTAATGTTATTCTGGTTGTGTGTGAATTTTAGGTGGTAAAGTACTGGCCAGAGATTGGAAAGTGTGGTTACCTTGTGTGGCGGTACCTGCTGAGACGGGACGATTTGGAACCAGCACCGTGGACACCTGAAGGACTGGAGAGGATCAAAAAGCTGGGCCTTGCTGTTCAGGTTAGACTGCGAGTGTGTCTCTATGTGTGTGTGTGTGTGTGTGTGTGTTTGTGTGAACTTCACCGTATACACACTACAGATACCCACTAAGGCATTCTTTTGCACATGTACATCTTGAATATAGAACCAAACTACTTCCCTCTTCCAAATAAAGCGGTGCTCATGTCTCTCCCCGTCTGTCTGCAGTACCCGCCAGGCTACTTGGCAGCAATGGCTAACAAAACAAAGAAGGAGGCCTGTGCCAGACCAGGTCGCGGCGGCCGGAGTAAGCACTATTCCGGCAGGGGGAGGCCACGGAGACAACGCAAGATCAAGGAGAAAGAGGAGAATGGCGAGGAAGAGGAAGAGGAGGAGGAGGAAGAGCAGCAGCAGCAGCCAGTGGCCAGTATGGATGAAGAGGAGCCACAGAGTAATGGAGAGCAGAAGACAACCAGAGATAGTGGTGGGTGCCTTTAGAGATGCAGCTCAAAGCAGGTCAGACAAGGTGTTGTGAGAAGAGGACAGGTGAGAACAGTGTGAGCAGTGAAACTTATTTTTAAGATAGCTTGTAAATATTTAATATCCACCAGCATCTTATTTTCCTCAAGCATGGACCACTCTAACTGTCTTTTATTCTGGAAAAATAGCTTTCTTTTTTTTTTTTTAAGTCTTATATGTGTGTCTTTACCAGAGCCGTCACCGGTGGCAGAGCCTCCCTGTAAACGGGTGAAGATAGAGGAGACCTTCCATCTGTCAGAGCAGCAGCAGCAGTTGATCCGGGAGGACACAGCCAACAAGAAACTCTGGGATGAAGCCATGGGAAACCTTAAAGAGGGACCGGTATGAATCCCAGTTTGCAGCCTCTTCAAGGACAGCTCATTGAATGTCACTGAAGAAATTCATCCCCTTAGTCTCAGATCTTAAAGTCCAGCTAAAATCACATTTACTCATTCCTTTGCATAGTCTAAAATAATGTCAGTAAGGGATTTAAAAGTATTGTTAATAGTTTTGTTTTATTAAAAGGAAGATAAAAGGTAGATCAAGATTGATCCTTTTTCACTGGCTGGAGGTATCAGACACTGAGCGTCAGTGTCTGTTTGACAGCAGCTGGCAGGGTGCCAGAGTGCGGGTAGGGAGGGAGAGAGAGAAAGTAAACACACTTTACGCTTTAGCTCCATGTCATTGATAGACAGTGTGTTATTAGCAGTGATTTTGAAGCGTAAGGACCACACCAGCTTCTAACTGGACCAAAGTGACATTTACAGGTGCGTTTACTGTGTGTGTTTAATGGGCTGCAGCTGAGCAACAAATAAGCTATCAAGCCTGAAAACCAACGTTAGAAAGGCACTTTTTAAGTTGCAGTTGGATTTTAACTTCCTGAATCAGTTTGCTCCATATTCCCTCATTTCAAGACCAGTATGTTACTGTTTTATATTTGGCAGAGCTGGATGTAATCTTATGACATTTAAAATGGCAGTATCACCAACCTACCTCTAAAAGGGTAAGACTGTAATAGTCTTTTCTACAGTAATATATATTTTTCATGTGTTTCTGTCTGTGAACATATAAAGAATTTCCTGCGCAAGATGGAGCAGATCTTCATGTGTGTGTGCTGCCAGGAGCTGGCCTTCCAACCCATCACCACTGTCTGCTCACATAACGTTTGCAAGGTACGTGCTGAGTGAAACACTTGTAACTACCACTATTCAAAACCCCCTGCCTTTTGTATTTATGTGCAAATTTCTTCCTGCCGCCCTCTCTCCCCAGACTTGTCTCCAGCGGTCGTTCCGAGCGAAGGTGTACACCTGCCCAGCCTGCCGCCACGACCTGGGCAAAGACTACGTCATGACCCAAAACGTGACGCTCCAGCTGTTGCTCGACCAGTTCTTTCCCGGCTACAGCAAGGGCCGATGAGGTCAAAATCACGTTTATAAGTAGAACACGTACATACACGCACATAAGCATCCATTCTGTGCACCCACGTATCCCGGCGAGAACCTAGAGCTCCACTTTAAAACGCATTGCGCACACATACTGTACTTACCCACGGGCAAATGTATATTGCATATACAGCCATTTATGTATACAATCATTCATACACAAACAACCTCAGTAGGGACTGACCTCATCTGTTGAACTTGGACCGTCTCCATTAACATCACCAGCCTGAATTTCAAGAAAATTTTTAAACCTCCCTACTCCTGCCACACAAACGCACACAAAGACAAACGCACAAAAGGAGCCCCCGATTCACACCCACTAGCCACCTCAAGATATTAGCTCTTTTTTTTTTGGTTTGCCCTTCCACTGTGTTGTCCATTGGTTCAACAAATTGATATACAGCACATTGTTTGAGTGCAAATATAATTAGCCATTAGACTCCTGCCAACCTGTGCACATTTTGTGTACCATGTACGCAGTTTTACACCAACATACTCAGCTGAGATGCATCATATATGGTATGTGCAGTATTTTACTCAGCTGGCAGATAAAGGTGCTAGTTTAATAGTGATTTTTAGGCACAGCAGGACTGAGAACTTTAAGGTAACAACCCCTGCATAACATTCAATGTGAGCAAGTAGGTCATGTGACTGAGAGATGCCCGCAGACAGTCAAACATTTGTTAATCTATGGAAATGAAGCACACAGTGTTTTATGCCCTTGAAGCACTTTATCAATGACATGTGCGGCAGACTTATTTTGTATGTTAATCAGGAGCACATGCTAGCATCATGCTAGCTGCTCATGTCACTTGGAATAATGCCATCGCCATGCCTTGAGCTAATAAGAATAGCAAATGTCTCACCAGAGAAAACTGTCAGTGCATTTGCAGAGAACAGAAATTGGCAGCTGTCTCCGGTTTGTTTGGGAGTGTCAGGAGATTTCTGAGCAGCAATCTTGCATACTTGGTGAACGCAACAATGATCAACAGGCACAACTCTCTCCTTAGATTTTATGTGGAGTCCAAAAAAAAAAACAAAAGGCATTCACTTCATAAAAATACCAAAGACATTAGGCTGTAGAGCAGGTCAGTCACGACTAGGAAGAAAATGCAATATATACTTATATATCAAACAGGGCAGTACCAAATGATTGTCTTTAGCAAGACACGTTAAACAAACTCATACAACTAGTATTAAATCTCTCCCATAAGTGCTGTTTAAACCTCCGACACTGTTAAAATATTTGTTAAACATTAATGTTAAGACATTCATAAATGAAGTTCTCACATCCATATGCATTTTCACACATGCGCTCATTTCATGGTTTCACTTCTTCAGGCAGATGGACTAAACTGTACTTTAGATGAGTACGTTCTAGTATTTCCCTTTTAATTTCTCTGCCAGAGAAATACTGTAATGATATAATGGAAATTAAAGATTTACATGCAGCGCCCTGAAAAGCGTGAGGTGCGCCACTTGCACAGAAGGGCACACTGCGGTTGTCCCTGGTGTTACCAAGCAACCACAATCAAGCAGGACTTCACACAAAGACGGTTAGCATATATTGTGCTCAGCAGACATCCTTTCGCTATTGTTCTTCTTTCTGTTAGATTTAGTGTAATGTTCAGTGGAAAGCTGCTTCTCCCTCATTGTAAAAAAGTAGTCAGATGAGTGATTGCACAGCCAGGAAGATGTTAGTTATTTGTTGTCACATTACATCCAGAAAATGGAGATACATCTGTGTCAATGAGCCTGGAAAAAAAGGCCATTGATTTCTGACAAAGAGCTTTCTAATCAACATAATAATTATGTGGATTCACACCATCAGAGGCTCAGGGACACTGCCAAAATGTGCAGTGTTCCTCAATATAACAGTATTTAAGCTCGATAGAAATGTACTGTGTGACCAGTATGATATTGTCATTTATTTGTCAATATTTTTTCAGAAAAATGGAACAAAATATACTGTACTTTCAGTGCTATGAGGTTGTCCCACCAGTTGGACACTTGACGTACTAAGATAAGATTTGCAACAAAGGATTTATCAAACAATTTCTGAAACTGGTTTCATTACAACATTAGATTGTATGCCACAAAAATGTACTGATTTAAAATCCTAATTTTAGACTATTTTGTTTAGGCCGAGTTATTGCATGGCTGGTTGCCTTTAGACAACGTTTAGCACTTGAGAACTTTGTTTTTTTACTCAAAGTAAAGTATGGAAAAGGCTTTGTTTGATCACATTGACATTAATACTGAGAAATCTAAACAATACCTGTCCTTTCTTGGCACAAGTGAGAGCTTCTCAGTATTGCAAGAGGTTTTAAAGAGTGCATATGTGAGAGTTCACTGGTGTATATGAGCATAACACATTTCAGTAGTTGCATTAATACACTATTGAATTTTTTCGATATGTAGTGTGTTTGTAATACAATGCAATTCAACATAACCTTGAATACATAATAGAAAACTGTATGTATGTGCAAGGTAAAATTTTAATTATGTCCTTCACTGCCCCCCAGGAGTAAAACATAAATGGGCCTGGGTTAATCATATAATGTGCACGCCCCTTTCAGCCAAAAAAGAAGACATTGAAGTGTCATGAAGCAGCTTTTAGAAAAAGTAAAGACGTTTCAATTAAAAAACAGCACTTAGGACAGAAGACACAAGGCAATGGACCTCCCTTCATTTCATCCTCACTTACACTTTATGTTTTAGAGAAAGAGAAGTCTGAGTTAATAACAGCAGTTCTGATTGTCGGTTGCACTGAATACGTAGATCTTAAATACGTAAATACAGAAACAGATTTCTTCACACAGACAGTTCCAAAGACAAGGTATCCTGTGAGAGAAAACTAGCTCTTTTTTTTGCACATGCTGGATAGCATTGTACACGTTTATGTGGATTAGGAGCATGCGTGACATACCATATAAAGGGTAATATCTTGGGATAGTGATGTTTTGTTAGTTTTGACTGTTTTCTCGCGTCAATCATCAGTCAATCAGTGTGAGACAGCCAGGTCTGTGTGGATTCCAGGCGTAACCTAAAAACAACTGAAACATTAGGAAGGCATTTGTTATATATAAGTATATAACATAAGTATTTAACGGCAGCTGTCAACATAAAAAAAGGGGGGGGGGGGGATTTCGTTTAAGCGCTGTGACGCCGCTGGAGGAAGGGAAAGCCTAATTCGGTGGCAGAAAATCCTGCAACTTGTGATAAATTCCCAATGCCTCCTCCTCCGCCTACAGCAGCATACAGTCCAAAACGCATGTGTGAACACTCGGGATGTGTGCTTTCCTCAGATGCAGCAGACCAAAAGACCCACAACTTTTTAATTCTCTTATAACAAGCCTGTACAGAGCTCAAAACTATTTCTTGACTGTTTTTTAAGCTACTTTTCTATGTTTACATGTTCTTATACGTTACTGTCCAGTGGATTCAGCCCGACCAGCGAGGAACTGCCCACTCCATATCTTTTAAATGCACTTGGAAGCTTGACATAAATTGTAATTGCTAAAAGAACGCCGCCACAAATAAGACCAATGACATAATATGTCATAACCTTTCACAATACGACTACATGTCATTCATCCTCTTCATTTTATGTTTTTTTACTGGACCTTTATTGTGCATTATTCCCCAAATTGTTTGATAATCTGAAATAATGTTTGCTTTATTGTTACCATGTAAATGATGTCCTGTGCACCCATACATGTTCAGTTATCTTTACATCTATATCTGTTAGATCTGAGTTAAAATAGTTTTTTCTACCTTGAGTGGCTGACACAGATTCACATCTTTTCCTGTGCTGATATGGTACTTTAAAATGTCCAGGGTTGGCAGGTCTGATAGGAACTAAAACAAAAACACCCCAATGGAGAGCAGCAGCAGCAGTCCTCTGTGCTGATCTGTGATCTGGACCCGGAGTGCTGAATTTCAGATCACACAATTGAGAATAGTTTTAACTCTTGAGTTGGTTTCGTGGGAGAAAAATGTAGCCTCTCGTTCACCGACATCATCGCGTAACACCCGTAACAGTCTTCGACGCAAAGCCATGTTTAGTGTAGAGCTGAGCTGAGATAACACACTGCTGCTGTACACATCAGTTTCTTACTACTCTGTTCCGATCCCCCCCCACCCTCCACCCCCTCCACACCCCGCAGTCGTTACCGTTAACTTCTTCCACCCTCTCATTGGCCAGCTGTTTGTTTGTGGTGATGTCCTTGTTTCTGTTCAATCATTCAGGATGTTTTTTTTTTTGTTTTTTTTTTAACAACAACATGCAAGTACAAATGCTACTATGGTCTTTTAAAGCTAACTGTGATGTGCATTACTTCCACTGTTGCTCAATCTTGTTCAAAGATTATTTTCTTCCTGCATTGACTGGCAAGCTAATAGGCCTTGTTTCTTTCTCTGCTGTGACCTTCGCTCTCTCTCCCCCTCTCTCCCCCTCTTTCCGCTGTCTTCTGCCCTCCGTGATCCTACACTACTAACACTTTTTTAGACGTCTTGTGGACGCTTGGCTTCAGTGCTGTGTTGTTTTTTACTTTTATTGCACTCTCTATTGAAGAAAAAAGTTTGAAAAGTCGCATTTAATTTTCCTAGAATGCTTACTATTATCTATGTCTGTGCGCCATTTTTCTACCATTTTAGTTGCTTCTCTTCTATTTTAATCATTAGTCATTTTTATGTGGCGACCTCAAACATTTGCAGCATATGCCAGTCTGAGGAGTTTCATTGCTTCATATTGTGATCTGAAATTTTATACATGTCATAATAATACTTGATATGTACCTATTAAATATTTGGATTCCAGAAAAAAAAAAAAAACCTGCTTCTTTTCTTTTTGTCCTGTATTTAACAGATTTCACACGGCTAATGACTAATGCTAATTTTTAGTGTAAAATGTGAAGTCGATAGATTATAGTAGAGTGACGCTAATGTCTCTACCATGAAATTAATATCTAAAGTGGTCAAGCAGACCAACTCCTACTCCCAAATTAATTTACAGGGATGTTACTCAAAGCTCTCTGACATTAGGCCAACTAATTATAGTTTTTGTCATAGAAAATGAATAATACAATTCCTATAAAACCCATTAAAGGCGTATATTTAGTAACTACATTATATTTTCCACCAAACTGCTGTTGTTGGATACTTTGTTCTGATGAATAATCAGATGATGATTTCTTGATACAAATGGTAAATGTTTCCTTCTATAGTTAAGTTAAACAGGTGGTGTGTCTTTGCAAAATTTAAAACAAAAAGTGAATTTTAAAGCCTGTCATGCTTGAAATTGGCACAATCACTATTCTCCTCAGTCAGTATGTAGTGGAAATAACTGAAGCTGGTCTACAGCAGATAACGCTGTGTCCACATAGGAAGGACTCAAGATTCTGATGTTAGTTTGCCAGGTAATTATTGTTGCTGCCCACTGAATACCGACTTTTCATCAAACTGTTTTAACTCGATACAGGAAGCACATCACTGGCCAGGCATAAACTTGGACTGCAGCTTGAGCTGTGCCGTTGTAGAATGCTGTGTGACGTTTCGCCATTTAAAAATACACTACGTTACATCATAATTAGCACCTACAGATTCCATTAGTTTCAATTAAACTAATTTTGACATACACAGCAGGAAAACAATAAAAAAGTGATAGCTGAAGTGCATTTAGCAGCTTCAGGTGTCTCACTGTCACAGCTGACTGGGGCGCTTGAGAAGAACAGAACTATTGTTAATGTTAACCTGTGCAGTCAAAATGGCTGCTGTGAAAAAAATGATTATACTTCTACGCAGGTTGAAGGTAGGCAGGAGCTATGGTGGACTGCTGTACTAATCATAAAGATTTAAGCTGGCAGAGTAGGTACACTATCAAGCACACTCTGTACACATACAATGGGGTCTAATTAGCCAAATTAAGTGAAATTAACTGTGTGGGTGTACTATGACCCAGAGCTCATGTGAGTTAATGGTACTGGGTGAGCAGTCATTAACTGTTTAGTGTTCCTCTGTGTATCAATACAGTATCATTATGTGGGGCTAATTTGAGGACCAGTTAGGTGAAAGTCTGTCACTCTGAGATTATTCATGCCTCATCAGGCTTCAGGAGGCTGTGGGGTAACCAACCCGCTTCTATAACTGCAAATCGAATCAAAGTTATGTATACTGCAGATGAAAGTTTAAAATCATCTTCTGAATGGTCATGTGTAGTTCGTGTGGAGCCTCCTGGTGGCATGAAGACACAGGACATGTTCTGGATGTCTGCCCTACTGCTCTTTTGTAACTGACCTGATTTTGTTCAGTTTGTGCAGACTGAGCAGCACAGACTACTTTATGTTGGGTACTAGTTAAAATATGACCAGGGACCATTAAACGTGCTTTACAGTGCTGTTAGGTAATAAGGATGCGTATAAATGAAACTTAAAGACAAATCCCTTATTACAAATAAGTCCTGTTTAAAATCCACCACTAGCTGATGTGCAGTAGTATTAGTGAACCTCCAGCAGACAAATGTTCCCCAGGCTTTACACTGAATGAGTTCAGTCTGGATATTTAATTTTAAGAAGAGGAGCTCTTTGTTAGATTTTTCTTTTAACCCAAAGAATAAACACTTTAGTTTAAATCCAAATAAGGCTGTACAAAAAAGGGATGTTTTGTTTGTTTGTTTTATTATCACAGAAGCACAACAGGTACCACTATGCAGGTGAACAACAAACTCAATACTATCATGAAAAAAAGTTAAAAGTAATGCTAATCAAAATGGAAAAAAAAAAATTCAATCATAACATCACAGCATTTTTTTTAACCTAATATAGTCAGATATACATGGCAGAAATAAGCAAAAGCACTTTGGATTATTCACTTTCCTTTCACTTTGTACCAATTCACTCATTGTAGGATCTTTAACTTGAAACTGAAGCGCCTACATCAGACACATGCAACAGCATTCATATTTTCACTCCACCTCTAGTCTAGATTCACTATGCAGCTATGAAGTACCAATTATTGGGGCTGTCGCTCAAAAGTAAATCCTAATACTTTTAAGAGGATATTAGTGCTACAAAATAAATCTGGTCCCGCTGAAATGCATTTATAATTCAATTGAGACAGAAATAAAATATGGGACAAATTTAAAGTCATTATTTAGCCAATCAAAACAAAGCTGGAGTACCCGAGTGTAAACCTGATGACCTTTTTGTTGTACATTCAAGAAATGAAGAATCCCCCACCTTAATCTATCATAAAAGGAATATCAATAAAAACAAAGATTTGACGAGAAATTAAAATTATACCAAAACTTAACTTATAGCGATGACAACTGCAATATGAAGTCCAAAAAACAAAGGTTCCCTCCTCTTCAGATGACAACGCCGATTAATCTTCAATGAAACAGTATGATAAAACCACACAGAGATAGACTGTGGAAACAGGAGATGCACATCTTACATATTCCCTTGAACACAAAAAGCATGGGGAGATGAATGCTTGCTACCACCGAGGGTTGGTGGGCTGTATGACTGAACTGGGACGGGATGGACAAACATACAATGGGAAGAAAAGGGGAAGTAAGCGGGGGGTGGAAGGGCTGTCCAGAGGGCTACTCCTCGTCCGAGGAGTCCCTGTCAAAGTTGTAGGCCATGAAGAAAACATCGGGTCGGGGCGGGACGAGGGCATGGCCCGGTTTCACAATCTCAAAGCCCAGGAAACTGAACGTACGCACCAGTTTAGCTGGAAGAATAAAAAGGAAGGGACAACAGATGTTAGGATGCAGTACAGAAGCCATAAATAATTGTGTTGTCAAAGTTGTCTGGATGTTATAAATGAAAAAGGTGTGCTGGGGAAAAAAAACAGGGCTGTTAGCACATACCACGATCATCTCGGTTCTTGTAAAAGCAGACAAACACGCTAACGACTTTCAGATGTTCTTCAGCATACTCCAAGAGAGCCGCAAAACTGGAGGCACAACAGAGGGCAGCTTAGGTTAGAGAACGGGAAAACAGCCTATTAACACGCAGACAAACACCCAACTGGCTGAATCTCATGCATATCCTATTTAAATGGTGTGTGTGTGGTGATTATCTTTACTTTGGCTTTCCCTTCAGATGTTTTAAAGTGAATCGATCTGAAGCTCTAAAATTAAAATGTAATTAATTAAAAACCAGGTAATCAAGGATTAAAGATTAAACATTTTCCATGCCAACTTGTTTTAACTCGAACAGCCTGTTTATTCTACTGTGACATGGCTCAATGTGCTACTGCAAAGACCTAAAGCTATAATCCACTTGAGCTCTTTCCTCTCGCCGACAGTCTGGCCTCACCTCTCCTTGCTGCCTTCGGGAAGAGGGTCAAGAGGTATCTCCACGTAGAGTGCGCTGCTGCTTAGGACAGCATCCCACTGTATCGTCTTGGTGACGGTGGGACGACTTTGGAAGTGGAGTATCCTGGGACGACCGTTCCCTGCTGGCTCCTCCGTTACAGTCAACTTTCGGTCCTGGGAACACAAATACTAGTAACACATCTGAAAACAGCGGTGAATGACATTCCATGTGTCACGCAGACAGCAGCTTTCTCTTTAGTGTCCAGGTAGACTACAATAAAAATGCGGTATGCACATATGGGCCTCATTTTCTATCAAAGCAACTGAGCCTATAGATAAACTGAACACTGAGGGGGAAAAGAAACGGAATGATGTGTCACTGCGGAGCATGGGTGACTGAATCAAGTGAAACCCTGGTGTGCCTTCCTCTGCTGTGTAAACAGACTGACACTGCATCATGTGACAGGAAATAGCTTCAGTGTGGAGGCGCTCGTATACTTGACACATTCTTTTTCCCCCTGAAAACAACCACTGTCCCACTGACTACGTTTCAGCCGTAAGACTGTGTGTGTGTGTGTGT